GAGTATGTAAATTAGGCGTGTTACAGACGGCTTCCTCGGTGCACCCTGTCGGAACTCGAGAGTACGTAACGTGGTATAAAGATTCCTGTCGTTCAAGGAATAGAAGGTGGTGGATCTGGCCAGGTCACATTCAAAACCCACATGCAAAAAGCGAGACTAGCGAGACGGATCGGGAGAGAGAACGAAGAGTTGGTTTCCGTTAGCCTCATGCTCGAAGTCCAAGTTCCCTCCTCTAATCGAAGGGACTCTTCCTCTTCTGGCATCAAAGTCCTATCATCGCCTTCCAACCCGTCAGAAACTCCGACTTCCCTAACTTTATCTTCCATAATATCGTTTGGGAAGGCGCTTTGGGTTTCTTGAAGTGGAATGTGTTCTTCGTCTGCTTCCATCGACGATGTACCACTTGGATTCTGGGTCTGTTCTGCTACAGGCAAGGCACCTCTGCTCGACGGAATTCGGTGTTCATCCTCAGTGTCACATATCAAGGAGGTCAATTCTGAAGTAGCATGCGCCATTCTGTGACTGATCCCAATAAATATGGCTGCTACGACAACAAAGTTGACAAATCTCCATGAGGTGCCTGGGACAATGATCAAGACGCCCTTGGTATCTAATCCGAGTCAGCATATCATTACTGTATAGATCACAGACCCATAGCTCACCAGCAGCCAGCCAGAGGTGATATTGGAGAATGAAAGCTTCGAGTGAGCATCTTCCAATGAATCCAAATACTTCTGAAGAAGCGGCCCGCAAAATCGGGGTGGCATTGCGAAGTAAGATGTAAGCCATTACGGGCATTGCAGAGATGAATGGATGCCACAGATTATACGCAAATTTATCCGCTCGAGATGCTTCAAACAAGAAGAACCACATCAATGATAGGCCACAAAAAGTAAGCGTAGCTCGGTGAATCCATGTCCACTGAGGATGGTCGACTATACGTAGCTCGCTGGCTTTGCTGTATGCTATCGACGTCAACATGCCAGCATAGACGATCAAGATGTCCAGATTGACACGGAAATCCCATTCTTCTGCCGACCAGCGGATGTTGCATAGCTTCTCCAGAAGTATTTGGATTCATTGGA